AATCAACATGAGTATAAGATGAGAAAAAATCTTTTCTTGGTGTGACATGTGAGGTAGCTCCAGAATCTACTATCCAGCTCGTCTCATGGGATACCAAATTGATGACGTTTTCATCATAAGCAAAAAGAAGGTCATCTTGAACAATAGCAGCAACATTGTTCTCGTTATTTTCAACTTTCTTTCCTTCTCTAGTGTCTTGATTCAACTTGCAGCAAAACCTTTTGATGTGTCCTTTCTTGCCACAGTGGTTGCATGTAACATTATAGTATTTGGACCTTGACTTACTTCTACTTTTATCTCTATTCCTTGAGCCTCTTGTTCTATCTCTCCCCCGGTCTTCTGTAACCAAGATATCTGTTTGTGAGGATGAACCCTGCGATTTTCTCCTTACTTCCTCGTTCAACACACCACTCTTGGCATATTCCATGGTCACCTTACCTCCAGGAGCTGAATTTGTCAAAGAAACACGAAGAGTTTACCAAGAGTCTGGCAGAGTATTAAGAAGCCAAAGTCCTTGTATCTCATCATCAAAATTAACCCCCATTCCAGATAGCTGATCAAAGACGCCCTGAAAATCATTTATGTGATCAAGGATAGGGTTGCCTTCCTTGTATTTAAAGGTCATCAATTGCTTTAGCAGAAACAATTTGTTGTTCCCGGTTTTTGAAGCATAAAGAGTCTCTAGCTTATCCCACAATGATCTCGCATGTATCTCGTTCACAATATGGTTGCGAACATTATCTTCAACCCATTGCCGTATATATCCACATACTTGTTGGTGCTCGAAATCCCAATCTTCATCGGATATACTCTCGGGTTTATGAGCTGAAAAAACGGGTAGATGCATCTTCTTCACGAACAACAAGTTTTTCATCTTGCTTCTCCAAACATTATAATTTCTCCCATTTAAACATACCATCTTGCTCATATTCGCCTCCATTCCGTAATAACCCGGATAAATAACCAAGGCTCTGACATGGGAGAACCTGAGAATTATGATGAAGCCATGCAAGATAATCACAAAGATCATTGGATCGAAGCGATGGAAGATGAGATGAAGTCACTCCATGAGAATGGCACATATGAGTTAGTGAAATTGCCGAAAGGTAAGAGAGCTTTATCTAACAAATGGATATTCAGAATAAAGCAAGATAACCATACCTCTGCGCCTAGATACAAGGCGAGGTTAGTTGTTAAAGGTTTTGGCCAGAAGAAGGGAGTTGACTTTGATGAAATTTTCTCCCCTGTTGTGAAGATGTCTTCTATTCGTGTGGTTCTAGGCTTAGCCGCAAGTCTAGATTTAGAGGTTGAGCAGATGGATGTCAAGACTGCTTTTCTTCATGGTGATTTAGATGAGGAGATTTATATGGAGCAACCTGAGGGTTTTGTAACTAAGGGAAAAGAAAATTATGTCTGCAAATTGAAAAAGAGCCTGTATGGATTGAAACAAGCTCCAAGGCAATGGTATTTGAAGTTTGAATCTGTCATTGAAGAACAAGGGTACAAGAAAACATCTTCAGACCACTGTGTATTCTTCAAGAAGTTCTCTGATGATGATTTTATTATTTTATTGCTTTATGTGGATGACATGCTTATTGTTGGAAAGAATAAATCCAGAATTGCAGTCCTTAAGAAGCAGTTGAGCAAATCATTTGCGATGAAGGACTTGGGGCCAGCAAAGAAAATCTTGGGCATTCAAATCCACCGACACAGAGATAGAAATGAGTTATTTCTGTCCCAAAAGCAATACATTGAGAAGGTACTCAAGAGGTTCAATATGACAGATGCAAAAGTGGTTAGTACTCCTCTTGCTAAACACTTCAAATTGAGTATTAGTCAGAGTCCATCTACTGATGAAGAGAAAAAGGAGATGTCTCGTATTCCTTACTCTTCTGCCGTTGGTAGCTTGATGTATGCTATGGTTTGCACTAGACCAGATATTGCACATGCCGTTGGCACTGTTAGCAGATTCATTTCCAATCCTGGAAAAGAACATTGGGATGCAGTAAAATGGATATTAAGGTATTTAAAAGGTACTACAGATTTGAAGCTGTGCTTTGGCAATGGCAAGCCTGAACTTGTTTGTTACACAGACTCTGATTTAGGAGGCAATCTTGATAATTCAAGATCCACTTCCGGTTATTTGATCACTTTTGCAGGGGGAGCTGTTTCTTGGCAATCTAGACTACAGAAGTGCATAGCTCTATCCACCACAGAAGCCGAATATATTGCTGTCACAGAAGGTGCCAAAGAACTATTATGGATGAAGGAGTTTATTAATGATCTTGGCTTTGAGCAGCCACGGTACATCTTATTTTGTGATAATCAGAGTGTTATCTGTCTCACCAAGCACTCCACTTTTCATTCTAAGACCAAACATATAAATAGAAAGTATCATTGGATAAGAATGGCCGTGGAAGAGAAATTATTTGAGGTTGAAAAGATACACACTGATGAAAATCCTTCGGATATGCTAACAAAGGCGGTGGTTGCAGATAAACATGAATTTTGTAGAAAATTGGCAGGCATGAAGCCTGTCAATAGTTCCTCTACTTGAAGACACATTTGGCCCCTTGGCTGGAGGGGGAGTTTGTTGGGCACATGCACATGTTGTCCAGCCAAGGCCCAATGGCCTAATCCTATTCTCTTTTGGTTTCCAATCCTATTTGGAATTGGATTCGGTTTATTCCTATTTTGAGTGGGTTTTAGCTTTAAGAGAAAGCACCACTCATGATCTATAAATAGGACAACCTTGGAGAATTATTCTATGCTCATTGATACAAGTCTTTGAAAGACTTAAGCACATAAGAGTGGGTTTTGAGAGAGCTTTCATCAAGAGAGAAGAGAGAAAAAAGGTATTTGTTTTGCTGCAGATTTTTATTCCGACCAGCCAACTTCAAATCACGTTTTCCGATTCGTTAACCGTTGGATCGGACTGAAATTTTGACTGAGTGTTCGTAACATCTTGGCCTTGGATTTGAACGGTGGAGATTGGATTTGGAGGCCCGTAGCATCTGACTTCGAGCCTCGAACAGCAGCTTCATTTTGTGGATTATACTTTTTCTTCAATTGATTAGTTGTTGCTCTTGTTGCTATTGTTGCTCCGTGTTTGGCCCTTGTTGTGTAGCCAATTTGGAGAACTTTTGTAACCCTCTTATTGTTATAGTGGAGCTTTTTGGATCTTTGTGATCCCGTGGTTTTTACCTTCGATTTGAAGGGTTTTCCACGTTAAAATTTGGTGTTCTTTATCTTCTTTATTTTCGGGTTTGCCTCTTCCTCGACATAACAGTGGTATCAGAAAATTCAGGCCAAGGGGGAGAATTGTTAGGTGTTTGCTATAATTTTCTTACCATATTTGGTTTTCCTATCTCTTGAAGGAAAAGGGCAATATAATTACCTTAACTGGATTTTCCTTTTTGTAAAAGGAAATTATAAATTTCCAATATTTGGCTAGTCCTTTTTCTTGTAGGAAAAGGTTTGGACTTCTATAAATTGAGGATCCTTCCTTCACATTCAGTAGCATCCACAATGTAGCCATAGGGGGCTTGAGAGTCGTGTCTAGGGGGAGAACTTTACGGGACAAGTGTTAGTGTGTCACTTGTGTTTACCTCTTCATGAGGTTGTTCTCTCGATATTTTGTACTCTCTTTTATTATAGTGGATTGCTCATCTCCGTTGTGGACGTAGGTCAGTTGACCGAACCACGTTAAATGTTTGTGTCTCTTTTGGTAGATTTTTCTTTGTTGTGTGATTTATCGTCGTTCAACGTTTGCTTTGCTAGATTCCGCATGACACCTGATTTTTCGGTCCTAACAGAGATGACCAAAAATACATAGATCTTGTACAAAAAGAAGTTAAGTGGCAGACTAATGTTTGCTTTAAGCCATTAAATTTACAGAAGCCACATCATAAGATCTCTCACAAACAGAAACCAAATTCCTCCAGCGGTCCTATCCGTTTCCGTGATTTACAAAATTGCACAAACTTTACGAACAACATCAGATAACCTACCTTCTTAGCTAACAAGAGGATAAATCCTAGGGAAGATAAAGTCAAACAATTACATGTCTAATATGTAAGCAAGATGATTATGTTGATCAATCAAAGTGATCAATATTCCTATTAGCATTCTAAAAAAAACAATGCAAGAGAAGACACAAAAAGGGCTAACCGATTGAGTAGATAATAAATTGTACTGTATATGGTTGAAGCCTGACACACACACCTTTTTTCCTGCACCCAGGGAGCACGAAGATGTACAAGACGATCCGCTGACACTATTGGTGGAAAGGTATGAAGAGGGATGTCGCTGAGTATGGCCAACTATGCAGAATCCTATTGAAAGAAGTAAAGAAAAAAAGTTGCAAAGTGAAGAAATATAAATAAACGCCATCATATTCAGCTCAGTCTCCATAAATTATCCTAAGCTCTCACTGGCAAAAGAAAACCTGCTTCCTACAACTACAGTGCCTTGTGAAACAGATGGAGAAAAGATTCCTTTCAAAGAGCTACAATAAAGCAGTGACAGATCCATACCACTAATACTTTTGTGCAATAACCACATTGGAATTTCAACTATTGCAACTACTAATTTTGATAAAGCTGCTATTTTTTCCATCCTTTAGAAAATCTAAAAGTTTCCTCTAACTTAAAAATGTCAAAGCATTTAGGAATCAGATTACTGTTGCTACCAAAAGTCAATCACATGGTTGGAGTGCTACGCCAAAACCACGTTGGCATTTAGGAATCAGATTACTGTTACTGCCAAAAGTCAAGCACATGGTTGGAGTGCTACACCAAAACCACGTTGGCAAGCCTACGGCCAGCAAAACAATTTCTTGTTAAAATACCAAGGAGATAAGATTACAAGACATAATGTCGTAAAAGCTCAAATGATATGGCTGATGGCTACAAAACAACTAAGCAAGCATAAGACTAAACTAATTTCAGTTGGTAGAGCATAAACCAATATATAATTCAGTAAAACGCTGGATAGAGAGGGGAGAATCAGTGGCCGAGCCACATGCACCCAAGGGGTGTCAACCGACACCCCTTTGTCGGAAAATTATTGTGTGTAGCTAGGTAATTTAAAATATATATATATATATATATACTATATATTGACACCCCTTAGACTTCTTGGTGAGTTTATTTCTTTATATTTTGACTCCCCTTCATAAAAATCCCGGTTCCGCCACTGGGGAGAATAGTTAACATTCTACCCCCATAAATACTGCTCCACTGAGGGGAAAAACATTGAAAAGAATTCTTTGCAAAAGGGGAAAACCTGTTATAATACCACTAAGAACTTATATTACCACCATTATGCCTAAGTTACATTCTGTTATGGTCTTTAAAGCAACTTTTTATATGTAAGAAATGTCCTCAGTTCCATAATTGACTTAATCAAGACTCATCGGAAATCAAAATATGGGTAATACTGATTGACCCATTTAACTCCATGAATCCATCTTACTACAATTCATTCTTCTAATTCCAACATAGTTGACAATTATCCAATTAAAGTACCCAACAAAAATCAAGAAAACTACCAATAAACATATCAGAAAGAAGTCTATGGTAGTTCACAACAATCAAGATCATGAGATATTGCTCAAACAAGAAAAAGAAAAAGAAAAAAAAACCCATAACGTAAAAGGGATTAATTATTACAAGAAATTTAGAGAGAAAAAAGGAGAGAAATTAAGAGGGGTGTTACCGTTCTTGATTCTTGATTCTTGATAAATGCTCCAAATCAGCTCCAGCACATAACTAGTCAGCACCAATTCATCGTGTTTTTATACTACTGGTCAGTTGCATCACCTTCACTTTATTTCAAATTAATTAAGACAAGTTGGAGACTCGCAAGTTGCACGTTTTCTCAAATGTGGAAAATTTTTGTTCATATTCCTACCTTCATTTCTTCACATTACCAAATACACCCCTAAAAGATATAATATTAACTAGTTTTAGACAAGACATACTTTAAAAGGCACTATACTACTTTGGTCATTTAGTATGCCGATAAGATTTTGCGGTTTTGGGGTAAATTAGTGACTCAGTCCAAGGGGTTTGGTTAATTTGCCTGCCAAGTTAGGTAAGAGGTTTGTTTTTATTTGGTATAATACCTAATTATTCCTTATAGTTTGTTTCCCAAAGGTGGTAAGAAAATCTTTCCGAAAAACCATTTCAAATTGAAACAAGTGTCAACTTTTGTAAAAGCACATATCTAGTAGGAAAAAAAAAATCACCACTGTCATTTAGTAAAAATCTTTTAAGTTGTTTGCAAAAAACTGAAAGAATTTCAAAAAAAAATCATCTGCTTTTTTTAAAACAAACGAACTGCATTGATGAGATATACGATTTGTATAGAGGAAATCGATAAATCGCACCAAAACGATAATCCGAGTCAAATCGGAAAAAAAAATCCGATCATAATTAATTTGGTTTCTAAGAAAAGTTAAACCGAAACCAAACCAAACCAAACCGACAGTACATGTATACAAGTTTTAAAAATATTTTATACATAAACATATTTACTGTAATGTAACTTTTAAATATTTCTTAAACTTTTTCACAATTTTCTCTTTTAACGTGTTATTTCGAGCTTGGACTTAAATTTTTTGAATGGTCCAATATGTTTTATAACCCGTAAATGTTACTAACTCAAATAAAGTCCAAATCGATATTAATGCTTACAAAAGAAATTCAATTCAATAGTAAGAATGACAATAGTGTTGGATATTTATTTTTTTAGTTTTGTATTGGTTTAGATAATAAAAAGGCATAGCTTATTTTTTTAATTGTTTAGTCATGTAATTAATGCTTAGTAGTACTTATTAGTTATACTTATTTTAGCATGACTTATTACTTTTAGATTATGTTCATTTTCGTTATGGCTTTATGTGATTTCACTATATTTGTTGTTGAATATTTTAGTACAATGTCACGACTCATCTAACAATATTTTGTAATTAATTTTGGGTAACATCTTATATAGTTGTATCATACTTAGTACTTTTAGATTATGTTCATTTTAATTATGGCTTATTAATTAGCAATATTTGTTTCTATGCAATTTTTGTTTTTTCATTGTTGAATATTTTAGTTCAATGTCATGACTTATCTCACATTATTTTGTGTTATTTTCTTGGGTAATACCTTATATAGTTGTATCCGACTAAGACCAACGAGGTATTTGGAGCACAAGTTATATATTTTGTGCTATAAAATTTTACCGAAGAAAAATCCGAGAAAACCCGAAAAATTCGAGATTGAAAAACCCGACTGTTGTTGGTTTCTTTTGATTTATAAATTTTAAAATCTGATACAATTGGTTTGGTTTGGTAATTGAAAAACCCAAACTAATTCGATATGAAAAAAACTTACCCGCATCGGGTGTTTACACCATGTTAAGTTAAGTTAACCATTGAAAGAAACTAATTAAGGTCTATTAGGAGTCCTATTTTAATAAATAAAAAAATTAAAAAATAAAATCAATGGCCGTGCGACTATAGAAAAAACTTACCTTCATTCGTCTTTCTTCTCCTTCTGCACGATATTCTACGAAAAAACTCAACCGAGAGTGTAATGAGGATACAATTTCTTAGGTATTATTCAGTTTGTTATTTTTTAATGTGTGCTGGAAAATTCTCCTAAGCTTTAGTTCAGTTAATAACCCCACTTAGGCTATTATTGTCTTCACAAAAAAAGTCGTTATAATATTAATTAAAAATTTCTTTTCAAAATTAAGTTTGATAACCTTTTCATGATTAGTAAGAGTGTAATTATGCAAAGCCAAGTGCAATTGGTGAAGTTCTTTCGTATGAGTTTAATCTTTTTGAATATATATGTCTGTTGTTTTCACAAACTAAGGCATTTACCTTTTGTGTGGTAATAGCATATTCACCATTAGCAGACAACAGTACCGTCGATGTACTTGACGTTTCCGTCTAGAACATAACATGGAATTTCAAGATGTTGGGTATTTTTATATTAATATTTAATCAAGGTTATGTGCAAAATATATGGTACTTAACTACGGTTAAGTACTAACAATTGTAGTTAAATAAAGTGACATGTGTTATTTATTTATTGGTCGGGTGTAAACATCCGGTGCGAGTAAGTTTTTTCCCTAATTTGTTACAATCAAGGAATCAAAGCAATCTGAGATCAAAATTGACAAAGAGCCCTAACTTCGAAGAGAGAGAGAAAAAGGAGAACCTTTTATTGAACAGAAGTCGGTCCTATCTGAATTGAGTTCTCTGTTAATCTATTAGCCTAAACTATCTATTTATACACTAACTGAAAATAAAAGGCTACATGTTACAAAGATGGTTAAACATACAAAGATAAATACTACTACATGTTAAAATGTATTCCAGGTCTTCAAGATGGGCCTGCCTTGGTATCTTGGGCTGGAGCATGCTGGGCTTCAGGTAAAGATTGGGCTCCAACCCTCCCCCCCCCNTGGGCTCCAACCCCCTCCCGCAAGCTAGAATGGGCCACCAGTCCAAGCTTGGAAAGGAACGTACAATGGTGAGCACCTGGTAAAGCCTTAGTAAAAATATCAGCCAACTGCGAACTAGTAGGAATAGCATGCAAGGTGATGAGCCCAGATTGGAGCTTTTCACGCACAAAATGACAATCTATCTCGATATGTTTGGTACGTTCATGAAAGACAGGATTGCGGGCAATGTGAATGGCAGAGTGATTGTCACAGAACACTGGAAAGGGACACAAAGAAGCAACCCCAAACTCCCTAAGTAGGCGAACAACCCAAACAATTTCTGCTACCAGTTGTCTTAAAGCTCTATATTCGGCTTCAACGGAAGAAAGAGCAATGGTAGCCTGCTTTTTAGATTTCCAAGGTACAGGGCAACCTCTCAATTGTAATAAAAAACCACTCACAGACTTTCGAGATGTAGAGCAACTTCCTCAATCGGAATCACAAAACCCAAGCAAATCAAAGGAGGAAGAATTATTGAACAACAAACCCAAATCAGGAGTGCCTACCAAATATCTCAACACATGTAAACCAACTTCAAAATGGGGAATTCAGGGTTGTGACATAAACTGACTGAGGTGTTGTAAACTATAGGAGATACTAGGCCTAGTGTGTTGAAGAAAATTCAACTGCCCAATCAACTTTCGATACAAGGACGGATCAGGAAGGGGATCCCCAAAATCAGCAGACAATTTAACATGAGCATCCAAAGGAGAAACCACAGGACTCACATGAAGACAATTAAATTCAGAAAGAAGGTCCAAGAGAAATTTTTGTTGAGTAACAAGCAGTCCCTGAGGGTGTTTAACAATCTGCAACCCCAAGAAAAAATGGGCCTCTCCCAAATCTTTAATTCGAAATTGAGCATCCAAAAATTACTTTAGAGCAGTAATTTCACTCAAATCATCTCCAATTAACAAAATATCATCTATATATACAGCCACAATGGTAAGAGAAGAGCCAGACAATTTAGTGAAAAGAGAATATTCATTCTTACTGGAAACATATCCTTTGGACTGAAGAGCAGTGGACAGCTTTGCATAGCACTGTCTTGAGGCTTGGCGAAGGCCATAGAGGGATTTATTAAGCTTGCAAACTAGATTTACAGAAGGATCAGAAGCAATCACTTCCAGTCCAAGAGGTACTTTCATGTAAACCTCCTCATCCAAGTCACCATGCAAAAATGCATTATTAACGTCTAACTGAAAAATAGCCCAATTCCTCTTAACAGCAACACTTGACAGACACTTAGTGGTGGTAAGTTTGACAACTGGAGAAAAAGTTTCATTAAAGTCTATTCCCTCTTGTTGAGTGTCTCCCCTTATAAAAAGTCTAGCTTTATGCCTCTCTATACTACCATCTGCCCGTTGTTTAATTTTATATACCTATTTAGAGGAGATGGACTTTTTACCAGGAGGCAAAGGCATGATGGTCCAGGTGTTATTTGCTTCTAAAGCTTGAAATTCTTTCAACATGGCATCCTGCCAAGCAAGGTGAACCACAGCTTGATGATAAAAATGTGGCTCAAGCAAACAATTGTCAGAAGTAGTCTTAGGATCCTTGGAGACAGAAGCATTAGTGCAAACATAATCTTTAAGATAAGTGGAAAGATTTTAGGGCCTGGAAGATCTTCGTAAAGGAATAGGAGAAGTAGTAAACTCTGGAGAGTGTGAAGATAAAGGAGCAAGTACAGAGGCAGCTGGGGAAGAATCAGAGGTAGGAAAAGGAGGAGGGGGAGGAGTGGAGGAAAATACATCAGTAGCAGCAGGAGGAGGGGAAACATCAGGAGGGAAAAAATAAGGAACAGAAGAAGAATATGGAAAAATAGACTCATGAAATATAACATCCCTGGAAAAGAAAACATTATGCCTCGTTAGGTTTAACAATTTATATGCCTTCTTTGTCATGCTATAGCCAAGAAACACACAAGAAATAGTCCTTGATTTAAATTTGTCCCTATAAGGCTTGGGTACAGCAGCAAAACACAAACACCCAAAAACTTTAAGGTGAGCATATGCATGAGGTGATCCAAACAGTAGTTCGTAAGGTGTTTTGTGTTGTAACAAGGGAGAAGGAAAGCGATTAATGAGGTAAGTGGCAGTAAGAATGCATTCTCCCCAGTATTTAAGGGGTAGATTAGATTGAAATAATAAAGACCTAGCAGTTTTTAGCAAATGTTTATGCTTCCTCTC